GCATTTTATCTCCCCAGTGATTCTGGGGAGCACAATGTCAAGAGAGTACGTAATGCTGGCAATTATAAAAGGCTACCCTCATCAAGCTTCTCAAAGATGCTAGTGTGTATTGTGCTGTGCCAGCACAGCCAAGGGTTCGGTGAGCCTGAGGGGGAGTGGCAAAGGATTAAAGAAAAGACAGACAAAGAGAATATAGCTGGGGCTTGGTGTATCTCCTGTGCCTGGATGAGGCTTTATTTTATAGTCTGAGAAAAACAAGGTAGTGGTCAACATAGTTACAATGTTCTTGTGTGTTTCACTTGTTTTGGCAGCACTTGCTGCACCTCCCACAGCCCATTAGCTACCCAGGAAGGATCTAGGGAGCCATAAGGTCATGTGCCCTCTAAGCTGGGACTTGTTTGTGGCTTTGCCAACAGGTCAGTCGGAGGTTTAACCCTATAGCCGTGCCCTACAGAACCTAACATTCTAGGAAGAACACTTTTCTTTTGCCTGGTCCTCCAAATCTTCGCTTAGAGGGGTCCTCATAGTCCTCCAAACTGGATTACCAGCAGTTTTGGCCAGGTGGAGGAGGCAAGGCTACAGTGGTGTAAATCACTTCTGGTATTGAATGGAGTGAGGAGATCCAGGCTTTGAGTGGTTAGCACAGTGGGGTGGAAGGCATGTTTGGGGTGGGCTAGTCATTAAGGAGCAAAGACCAGTGCATGCACCCTGTGTAGGACTGCAGACTTTCTTACCAGGAAGAGAAAATCATCATAGCCTCAGTGATGAAAGCAGCAGATTACTGACAGCTGGCAGGAGAGGTTTATCCTAAACACAAACATTTCCTGGCAAAATCACATGTTCCAGGATTAGAGCAAGCATGCCCCAACTAAACTGCACAGTTTTTAAACTTTCAAAAAATTGAAAGCATTAAAATAATGCATTTCACTTTTGTAGGAACAACATATTTCATTCATTTTGTTTCAATTTTTCTCCTGCATTTTTCATCCAGCTGATTCTTCCAGGAGTTCCAAGACTTGGGTCCTTATCACGCTTTAACACATACCTCCCAGACCTCTAGGCTGTGTGGGACATACACAAATTTGTTTCTTTTGTCCATTTCATGAATGAACAGATTTTCACTTAAAAACAATTTCTATCCTACCAAACTCAGTGAGATTTTAAGATTCTCTACTTTTGTGTTTTGTTCCTTGGTGAGCCACTGAGTTGAAGATTTACAGACTGAAGCTTGGGATTGCATGATGAATATTCAAAAAAAAGAAAAAGAAAAAAACAGGGAATAAGATAATAAAAATAATCAAAATGAGGGTGGAGAGAAGAAAAGTTCATGGTGATTTAATATAACCAATAACAGGTAGGAGAGATTTTGACACTCTCACCTTTAAAACTACATGCAGGACATCTTCAAAACCACTTTATCCCTTAATCTGGGATTGTTATGCCCAGATTTCAAGACCCCCCAAAGACAGACCACTAGGGAGCCAAGTCCGATGCAAAAGCATAGAGTCTTTATTCAAGCTGAGCTTGGTCCCTCTGCCTCCTTTACTGGCCAGCAATAGGATGCTAGAGAGCCCGGAGTCCCAAGAGAGCAAAGAATTTATAGGGTTTGGGGTGGGGGTGGGGGACACTTGGTCGATTCCAGTTGGTTGAGTGAGGGTTGGGGGGGGGCGCTAGTTTCCCTTGCTTTCCCATTGGCTGAGATAAGGGCAGGCTGAGTAACTGATACATTCTGTGGCTTTCCTGGGAGAGAAGTTAGGGACATAGCTACCAGTTCCGTTCTGTCCTTTCAGGATAGACTAGGGTTAACTAGCATTTTGGAGTTGATTTTTTGAGGCTGAAAGTTTAGAACAACAAAAATATTCTCTATTTTATTTATTAGTTTAGAAAAGAAACAGCTCAAGGAATTTATTTTCCAGTTAAAAAAACAAACCCTGAATATAACCTACGTAGAAATTTTCATGCCTGTGACAGTCAGTGGCAAATGAAGTTTTAGTAGTTACACCCAATAAAGCCCCTTCCCACGTTCTGTGTGCCATTTTATGAACGTGAGAGCCTATGACTACCTCCGGCACAGGGAGCGGAAGAAACATTTTCCAAACCCTTGTATGCCTTTCCGGGGCTCCTAGAATACCAGAGTACTGACACTTGATTGTACTATTTCTTATCTGTTGAAGATGATATTGGATTTCGCCAAAAACCACACAGGAAACCAACAATCCCACATTAACAGTTTCGATAGCCACCGCAAAGAAGAAATACAAAGAGGAACTAATCTCCGGGTGTGACGGGGCAGAAGTGATTTCATCAGAAAAGCCTGGATCTTCAGCCCATTCCGATCTTGACTAACCCTCCTCTTTATCCCGTTTCCTTTTGGATCCTCTCCCTTCCCCAGCGACTGGATACAAGGCAAAAAAAAAAAAAAAAAAATTTTTGGGGGGG